ACCAAGGACTTGACCATTCAGGTGAGTCGCATTTACAATGCAGATACATATACATATGTCCTAGATACATCAATCACAGATACATAGACACTAGCATAAAAGGCAAATGAAGCTTTCCTCTTGAGGTAGAGGCGTTTAGCTTTGTTAATGTAAGTCTTATCAGCTATGAGCAAGTCTTCTCTCTCACAAATTGATCCTCCATCCTCCTAGTATGTGGAGAACAAAGATTAAGTTAGTATAAAGAGTAGTATAGAGATAAAGGAAAATGAAAACGAAATTTCTTATGTGCTATACATACATGTATATTAGTTTTGTAAAATGAAAACCATTTCATGGGTACACTCCTATACACTACACTATCTATATTCTGATCTTGGCTATTTTAGGCGCCAGATCAGTTTGATATCAAGGCATATAAACATGGAAATATCCTTGCATGAATGCATTCACGAATATATATGTATAAGTATATATTAGCATCGGTTGCATCATAATTATAATCATAATTATACTTCATATAAGTATCGATAGTTTAAGTGACCTAACTACAAACATTGCATAAAGGCTGTAGACAACAAATTGATATATGGCTCATAAATAAAGGGATTACGAAAAGCCTAGTTCCTCGAATCTAATCACGACTAACAACAAATACGCTGCTCAAAGTAGGAGGCAGACGCGGCGTATCTCTATGTGTGTGTGTGTGTGTGAGGAAGTGTCGTAGGTGAATCAAGCACACGTATAAATTGCAAGTGCTGCATTTTGTATATATATATATATGTGTGTGTGTGTGTGAGTTTGTTCGCTTTTGCTGTGATGTGATGAGACCTGCTCGTGCTTTGCCCTGGAGAACTAAGCTTTTGCTGCCAAAAAGCTACTCGCCAAAAGCTGTATGCAAAAAGTAGCTTCAAATATGCGAAAGCTTTCGCTGACTATGCAACAGGAGCTAGAAGTACTGAAGCAGAATGCATTTTAACGGCTGTTTATTATTGCTATTGAACTATTTTACTATTCTACTATTTGAAACATCTGGCCATGTAAACTACTCATACTTAAAACTTAAATTGGACTAGCTAATACCTAATTTCAGCTAATTGCATTCAAATGAACTTCTGTTTTTCAACAAAACACCTGCTGCTATTTGCCCATTTTGCACTTGCGACACCTTGACAACAAAACACGTAATGAATATCTGCAGATCCCTTAATTCTCCCACACATCCTTATCTCAAAACCCAATAGAGCGAATTTAGAAAATTTTATCAAATTAATTAATAAACTAAACATAGAACTATAATGTATATAATATAAAAAAAAT